AGATTCGCCAAAGGTGCCTGGACCACGGCCCCGCACCCTCACTTCCCTTTGTCCCAAGGGAGTGCCTTGGGGCTCCCCTGCAGCAGTGCCCAGCTCCCCAGCAAGTGAAGTCTAGCATCTGAGCCCCGAGGGCAGGACCCGAGGAACCAGAGTGTGTACCCCGATGGCACCTATGCAGTGCCTAGACCTGCACAGGCTCCATGGCTGTCAGCATCCTTACTCTGCGGGGTCTGGCAGAGCGCAGCCTCTAACTTGGGCCTTTACATCCATTTATTGAATCTTCACAATTCCCTGATGTCCCCACTTTACAGTTGGGGACTGAGGTGAGGCCCAAAGAGGCTAACTGATTTGTCCAAGATCACACAGCTAGAAAGTGGCAGAGCCAAGTCTGGTGACTCCAAAGGCCAAGTCAGGACTAAGAATCCCTCTTTTCCTCCCGCTATGGTTGGGCTGCTTTCCGCCTTTCCTGGGGTGACAGGGTGGGGCATTGGTGGGGTCCCGGGGTTGGGCTCCACTCACCACAGAACCCGGGCCCAGGGCTCCAGGAACTGGCGTCCATCTGCTCCGTGGATCTCAGTGCCGTAGAGACGAACATGGTGACGGTGAAGGTGGACGGGCTGCCGCCTGAGGAGCTGTGCGGGCACCTGCAGGCTGCGAGCGCTGGCGAGGTGGCCCCGGCCGGCCACGCGGTGCGCGTGCTGCTATTTCCCTGGAAGAAGCAGTCAGTCCGTGCCATGTGGCACCGTGACATCTCGGCACAGGACACCGAGCTGGTACTGAAGAAACGGGAGTTTGTGCTGAGGAAGCTGGGGCCCTGAGCACGGGGTGATGGAACCCTGTGCCCTGGCTGGGATGGAGGCAGGCAGTGGAGGTGTCCCCAGGGAGGGGGCGAGAGGGGAGGCGGGAAAGCAGCACCCCCGTTACCTGCTTGTGTCTTGGACACTTAACCACCCACCTGTGTTCATTCAGCAAACCCCGGGTGCCTCCTGTGTCAGGGACAGGGTGCCCAAGCAGGCACCACAGCCCAGGAGGCAGCCCGGGCGGGGCCTCTGCTCCCACGCACAGGACAGCACCGCCTTGAGCTGGGGCTGGATGGCGGAGGCCCTACCTGCCACAGGGCGGGGCTAGGGCCGCATGTTGTAGTCATCTAACATGTTTTTACCTTTTTAAAAAAATAAAATTTTCGGCTGACAAAATAATGTGTCTTTATTGTGGGTGATTTTGGACTGGATCTCACTTTTAGCAACTCCTGGGGTCACTTAGGCAGAGTCGGTGCAGACCAGCCCTCCTGCTGAGGCCTTCTGGAGACCTGGACAAGATAGGTTTTTAAAAAGCACCCAAGAGAAACCACTCTTAACATTCCTGTATATTTTGTTCTGGATATGTGATGTATGTACTTATGCTGGCCCGTCTGGGGCACGTGCCAGCAAACATGCCATATGAGTCACCCACTGCTGTGTACCATGTCACCCCAAAGCGTAGCGCCTCAAAATAGCAAGAGTGCCTCATTATTTCTCACAGGTTCCGTAGGTTAGCCATTAGGGAGTGGCTCAGCCGAGCAGTCCTGGCCTGGAGCCTCTCATGAGGTTGCCGTGAAGACATCAGCGAGGGCAGCATTATCTGCACGACCCGCTGCCAGGGTGACTGGCTTGCACGGCCACACAGCTGGCACATTGGTCCGGCGGTTGGCAGGAGGCCTGAGTTCCCAGCTAGGAGGGTCTTCCCAGGGCTCCCTATCTTCACAGCGTGACAGCCGGCTTCCCCCGGGGCGAGCAATCTAAGAGGCTGAAGCAGAAGCCATGCTTGCATGGCCTAGTGTCACTTCTGTGGGTGCCCACACACTCACCCACACATGTCGCTGCCCAAGGCCAACCAGTCTCCCCAAACTCATTCCCCGGGGGTTTGGGAGGGGTCGGACCGAGCCAGGGGCTGCGCCAGGTCGCTGCCCTGCCGGGTGCCCTGCGTGCAGCCTGCCCAGCCGCCGTACCTTCGCAGACATGCCAGAGCCCTGAGTGCGAGGAGACGGCCCGGGAGCCCGGTGGTTGCCGGTGGCCGCCAGTGCGCCCCGCCAGGCGGGAGAGACGGCGTCCGGCGTCCGCGAGTGGAAGGAGCTGCGAGGTGAGGGGTCCAGGAGAAGAGGGCAGTCGGGGGAGCTAGGAAGCGGCAGTGTCCGGGAGGCCAGCGGGAGACGGAGAGGGGGTCTTGAGAGCAGGGAGTCGGGGCGCCGGGGAGTGGGGGAGCAGGGCCGGAGAGGGCAGTCGGCGCGGACGCTGGCGAGTCTCTTCTGGGCACGGCGCCCCCACCGGCTGGCGATGCCCCTCAGGTTCGCAGGCAAATGGATCCCACCTCTCTGCGATCGCCAGCTCGGCCCTAAGGGAAAGCAGGGAGTCGGAGCCCCTGCACCCCACGCCCTGGACGAGGTGAGGACCTGGGCTCAAGTCCCAGCTCCCCCGAGCTGGCTTGCCCTTGGGCCCCTGGGCAATCTCGGTAACCTCCTGTTCTTCAGCCACCAAAAGGCCTGGCTGGCGGGGAGGACAGCTGCCGCCTGAAGCTGCCCTGGGAGCTGGCAGCCCGAATGGTGGGAGGCAGCCCCCCTGGCTGGGGCGCTTGGCCCCGGCTGGCTCTGTGGTCCTGGTCTAATCAGATCAGGACCAACCAAAGGATCCAGTGAAGTGGGGCGGGCGGGCTGGCAAGGGGGCTGCAGAAGGGAGCTTTACTTCATTACAAATGCCTCACGGGGCAAGGCCGGCCTCTGCCTGTCCGTCACTCACTCAGCAAGCAGGAAGGAAGCACCTTCTAGGACAGGTGTCAGGTGCCAGCGGGTGGGAGGCACTGGAGCCACAAAGGGCCCTCACCCAGGGGCAGGCAGTGACACGTGGGGGCTGTCCGAGTGGGGCTGTCTGGGGTTTCATCTCCGGCCCTGGGAAGGCCTCCCCTCTGGGTCTCTCACTGCGCCCTGGCTGCAGACACGGGCTCAGAGGCCAGAGGTCCACATCCTCCCTGAGTGCGGCCCCTCTCAGACAAAGCAGCTCCGTGACTTAGGGTCACCCCAGAGTCTTCGTTTCAGCCCTCTTTTCTCTACCAGGCTCCTCTCAGTTTGAGGAATACAGTCAGTAAAAAAATAGTCTCAGCAAAATTATTGACAAATACTTCAAACTGCATTCAGACAGAGCGGCTCAGAAGTGTTCCGGTCTTGTGCAGGTTGTCCATCTTTCCACACCCGCACCCAAGGCTGGGTTAGGGCACGCGGGGGTGCCCAGGGGCTCCCTGGCTGTGGCGGCAGCAGCCTCTGTGTCTGACAGCCCTGCCCCCAGCCACTGCCAGGTGGCAGCCAGGGGCCCTTCTCTCTCAGGGGCCACGGTGCCGGGAAGGTGAAAGAATTCAGCAGGCAGACAGGGAAAAGCATCTATGAAAGCAGGGGAGAGCGGGGACTGGGGCAGGGCTGCTGCGGAGAACTGCTGTGGGCTCTGAGTACGGCTGGGGAAACAAGGGTGGATAATGACCGTAACATTTACCCCACAACGTGACAAGGATCAACATGGCTTCAGTTGGGTCAAAACCTTTTGTGTGTGTTTAAGGTATGAACCGAGAAACTGTGTTTAGGGAGAACCCCTTTCTGGCTGCATGCTCACATGCTTGCTCCCAGCGACACCCCCCTTCTAGGCCTGAGCTGGGGTCTCCTTTGCACCCCATAAAGCTTAAAACAGGGCAGGATCCGGCTTCAGGGCCAGCGACAGGCGATGTTTGAGACCACTGTCACTGCAGAGCCACACATCAATGCGTCGGAGTAGCCACGTGTCCACACACACACACACACACACACACACGTCGTCCCCCATGTTGCTGGGTATGTGACCAGGTTAGCAGTCTGCACCCCATCTGCTTTAAAGCCCTGTTTCAGAGCGCAGTCGGAGCCACTGATGGGCTTGTCCGCTGGGCAGTGGGTGCCGGTCCTTCACGGGCTTCTTGGATGAATTCCGCCAGTATACTTCCCTTGAGATGGACCCAAATTACACCCTAGCCCAGCTCTGACAAGGTGCCACTGGAGAGTGACCCATTATTTTTCATTATTCTCCTCCTTTCATCAACTTGCAGCCCATAATTAGAGCCATCAGTGGGCCACTTGGCGAGCACCAAGCCCGTGTCCAGCCTGTCAGGGCCACTTCAAAGCCAGCATCAGACCACTGCTGCCGAAATCGGGGGCAGGAGGGGTCTGATGGAAGAAATTCCAATTATAAGTGACAAGAAACAGGACGGCACCCAAGCCTCTTTGCTTTAAACTTACATTCAACTAACTGGCGCGCAGCTGGAAGAGCGGGCTTCCTGAGCCCTGCGACGGCCCTGGGCAGGCCCGCCTCCTGCTCCAGGCTGAGGACATGCTATATAAAACCCAGTGAGTTGCCTAGAAGCAGCTGGAACGGCTGGCGAAGGGCAGGTCAGCACCAGCGACGCTGCACCTACGCTTGCGGCACTTGGCAAACGTCCTCCAGACCGCGAACCCACTACCTTCCCAGCAGGTCCACTCACCCACCCAGGTGCGCTGTGAAGCTGACCCATCCTGGGGGACTCGAGACACTGTTCTAGCCCCAACTACCATCCCAATGGGTTCTCAGAGGGCTGAGGTCACAGCTAGGGAGCACAGCCCCTCTCCTTTGGGAGCCGTGGCCCTGACCGGGAGGCAGCCACACAGCTGGTGGGTCTCACCCCCAAGAGCTAACAGGCCTGGGGAGGGCTCTTCTCTGCCACCTGGCAATCCCTGAGGGGGCTTTGCTAACAGGGAAGCAGGAAGGTGGCCCCGATGCCACCCTGTCCCCCAAGTCAGAGAAGGCACCTGCACCCTGGAATGTACATGCCGTTCCCTCTGCCTGGTGCACCTTTCCCTTCCTTGCCCCCCTCCTGGTTCCTGGACAGACAGACGCTCAGTTCTGTCCTGCTGCCACCCAAGGCAGAGTTCATCATTGTTTCTGCTCCTGCAGAAACGCGCCATACTTCCATGGCTATTGCTGGCCTCTGTCTTCCCACCATCTAGAAAATGGGGACGCAGAGCTCACCGCACGAGACTGAGTCCTCTGGGCTTCAGTGACTGGACACAGCACCTGGCACACAGTAGGTGCCCAAGCAAGTATCTGAGTGAAGAACAGATAAACGTCACCACCCTGGGGACCAGGTGGGAACCAACCCCAGGAGCCAAGGCCCCAGTTTGACCCCGCCAGCTAAAAACTGGCTCAAATGCTGTTAGCAGAGCCCAGTAGAGAGAAAACTTCCAGCCCAGATGGTTCTTTGCTTTAAGGGCTAGATTCCCCCAGGGCGAGACCAGAAGTCCTTCGTGATGGAGACAAGACTGGCTCTGAGCCAGGTGACGGCACCACTCACTCCTCTTGCGGGCTCAGGCCTTAGATGGTGAAAGCACGTGTGCGGACATAGTTATAACAGGGACCCCTCGCACTGTCTTTACAACTAACTTCCCATGACTCTCAGTTCAAAACCCAAAGGTGAGATGTTGCACTGTGAGGCTCAGCTCCATGTGACAAAGGCCTGAGTGACAAAGCTGAGAGACAGATGGAGTGGGGACAGTGTAGACAGCCCTGGCTATGGAGTCAGGCATTGACCATGGCCACACCCGAGGCTGAGGGCCCAGCTCTGGGGCCAGGCTGCCGGGGTTCAATACCAACCCTAATGCTTACTAGTTGAAGGATCTTGGAGAAACTATTTCACCTCATTACAAGTTTCCATTTCTGCACCAAAAAAATGCAGAGATCACATTAGGCTTTGGCAATTGGGAGTTATTTTTTAGCACAACGTGGGAAGAATGTCAGCACCCCAGGGGGTGCTCCCCTGCAGGCGGTGGCTGGCTGGTAGCTCCGTTCTCAGCCCACCCCACTTTCTTTCTTTCTTTTTTTTTTTTNTGCCGTGGGAAGGACATGTGCGGTCCTAGGCTGCACAGGCAAAGGGAATGATTGCCCCAGTTTTAGGGCCCCCAGTTCCCAAACTTTCTCCAAGAGCGGAGCCCCTCTGCCCCGGAACTGAGTGTCAGAGCAGCACCAGCCAGAGGGCTGAGAACGTGGGCACTAACTCACTCTGCAGCCCCGTTCCTCGCTGTGTGTGGAGCTGCGGGAAGCTTAAATCAGATGAGGCTTTTGTCGCCCAGACCACGGTAAGCATTTGCCCCACGTGAGCACAACATAAACAGGAGAGAAAACGCTTATGATGGCCCCCTTTCACAGAGGACCACGCCCAGGCTCAGGCAGCAGAAGTGACTGCTCAGGCTCCAGATGACCAAGCTGGTCACCAGCCCGGCTCTCCTGACACCAGACCCCTCGTGTTTCCTCAAGGAGCCAAGCCCAGGGACCTTCTGGAGTCCCAGCCTCCCTCTGCTCCTCCCTGAAGCCTGGCTCCTCTGACCTCTGCCTGTACCTTGCCCCCAGGTGCGCCTCCTGGCCCAGAGCCACGGGGTCCGGGTCCACCTTGACAGGCCGGCTGATGAACGCCGCAGCAGCTCTGCACGTGCCCCCCGCTCACATTGTGGAGCACTGTGACTCTGTGTCGCTCTATTTCTCCAAGGTGGGGAAACCACTGGGCCACCCCCCAAACACAGGAGGGTGGGGGTGCCCGTAGCAGGAGGCAGACTTGGGTTCTGAGCTCCTATGCTGGCAGACGCTGGTCTGAGCCCCTTTAACCCCTCCCCAGATGGGGCCACAGTGTCTGCCCTTCCCTGTCCCCTCATGACTCCTCCCCCAGCCCCAAGGACAGAGACGCACACCCAGGGGCCAAGTGGGCAAGACTGCCTCCTCTTCCTCCCAGGGCCTGGTTGGGGGTCCCTGGTTGGGGGAACCAAGGACTTCATCAAAGAAGCCTGGCGCCTCCGGAAAGCCCTGGGTGGGGGGACGCGCCAGGCGGTGGTGCTGGCCGCTGCTGCCCTGGTGGGACTTGCTGAAGCCGAGGAGGTGCTGTCGAGGGACCACAGGAACGCCCAGAGATTCGCCAAAGGTGCCTGGACCACGGCCCCGCACCCTCACTTCCCTTTGTCCCAAGGGAGTGCCTTGGGGCTCCCCTGCAGCAGTGCCCAGCTCCCCAGCAAGTGAAGTCTAGCATCTGAGCCCCGAGGGCAGGACCCGAGGAACCAGAGTGTGTACCCCGATGGCACCTATGCAGTGCCTAGACCTGCACAGGCTCCATGGCTGTCAGCATCCTTACTCTGCGGGGTCTGGCAGAGCGCAGCCTCTAACTTGGGCCTTTACATCCATTTATTGAATCTTCACAATTCCCTGATGTCCCCACTTTACAGTTGGGGACTGAGGTGAGGCCCAAAGAGGCTAACTGATTTGTCCAAGATCACACAGCTAGAAAGTGGCAGAGCCAAGTCTGGTGACTCCAAAGGCCAAGTCAGGACTAAGAATCCCTCTTTTCCTCCCGCTTTGGTTGGGCTGCTTTCCGCCTTTCCTGGGGTGACAGGGTGGGGCATTGGTGGGGTCCCGGGGTTGGGCTCCACTCACCACAGAACCCGGGCCCAGGGCTCCAGGAACTGGCATCCATCTGCTCCGTGGATCTCAGTGCCGTAGAGACGAACATGGTGACGGTGAAGGTGGACGGGCTGCCGCCTGAGGAGCTGTGCGGGCACCTGCAGGCTGCGAGCGCTGGCGAGGTGGCCCCGGCCGGCCACGCGGTGCGCGTGCTGCTATTTCCCTGGAAGAAGCAGTCAGTCCGTGCCATGTGGCACCGTGACATCTCGGCACAGGACACCGAGCTGGTACTGAAGAAACGGGAGTTTGTGCTGAGGAAGCTGGGGCCCTGAGCACGGGGTGATGGAACCCTGTGCCCTGGCTGGGATGGAGGCAGGCAGTGGAGGTGTCCCCAGGGAGGGGGCGAGAGGGGAGGCGGGAAAGCAGCACCCCCGTTACCTGCTTGTGTCTTGGACACTTAACCACCCACCTGTGTTCATTCAGCAAACCCCGGGTGCCTCCTGTGTCAGGGACAGGGTGCCCAAGCAGGCACCACAGCCCAGGAGGCAGCCCGGGCGGGGCCTCTGCTCCCACGCACAGGACAGCACCGCCTTGAGCTGGGGCTGGATGGCGGAGGCCCTACCTGCCACAGGGCGGGGCTAGGGCCGCATGTTGTAGTCATCTAACATGTTTTTACCTTTTTAAAAAAATAAAATTTTCGGCTGACAAAATAATGTGTCTTTATTGTGGGTGATTTTGGACTGGATCTCACTTTTAGCAACTCCTGGGGTCACTTAGGCAGAGTCGGTGCAGACCAGCCCTCCTGCTGAGGCCTTCTGGAGACCTGGACAAGATAGGTTTTTAAAAAGCACCCAAGAGAAACCACTCTTAACATTCCTGTATATTTTGTTCTGGATATGTGATGTATGTACTTATGCTGGCCCGTCTGGGGCACGTGCCAGCAAACATGCCATATGAGTCACCCACTGCTGTGTACCATGTCACCCCAAAGCGTAGCGCCTCAAAATAGCAAGAGTGCCTCATTATTTCTCACAGGTTCCATAGGTTAGCCATTAGGGAGTGGCTCAGCCGAGCAGTCCTGGCCTGGAGCCTCTCATGAGGTTGCCGTGAAGACATCAGCGAGGGCAGCATTATCTGCACGACCCGCTGCCAGGGTGACTGGCTTGCACGGCCACACAGCTGGCACATTGGTCCGGCGGTTGGCAGGAGGCCTGAGTTCCCAGCTAGGAGGGTCTTCCCAGGGCTCCCTATCTTCACAGCGTGACAGCCGGCTTCCCCCGGGGCGAGCAATCTAAGAGGCTGAAGCAGAAGCCATGCTTGCATGGCCTAGTGTCACTTCTGTGGGTGCCCACACACTCACCCACACATGTCGCTGCCCAAGGCCAACCAGTCTCCCCAAACTCATTCCCCGGGGGTTTGGGAGGGGTCGGACCGAGCCAGGGGCTGCGCCAGGTCGCTGCCCTGCCGGGTGCCCTGCGTGCAGCCTGCCCAGCCGCCGTACCTTCGCAGAC